CGCAGGAATTTTCGAAGGTAGTAGTTGAAGCAAAACCAACAATAAGTTTTCATGTTTTACACGACTGGCACGATGTAACATGCCTGGCACGATGTAACATGCCATAATAACTGATGTTTACTGAAGACTGAGAAGAGAATCATCAGGCGAGGGTTTAACAGTGATGCAAAGGAGAAACGAGCCTTTGAAAACTAAATAAGAAAAGTTATTCGATCGCTATAAGAGTAACTCGATTTTACACAAAATGAAATAAATCGATCGTTTCGTCGTATTATTCTTTTTTCTCCGATCGATGTTTTATTAAGCACAGATATTGGATATTGGATATTGGATACTATCAAAATCAGGAAAGTCTGCTGAAATGGACTTGTCACGTTTATCTTCTATTACGAAATACGCTTCGTAAATGATATTTTATCAAGAAAAAAAAAAAAAAAGGTACAGCGGCGTATGAAAAGAATTATGAATTGGTCGTTTCAACCAATTTACATTTGAAATAACTTTCGCAGTTCCAGCGTTAGATATGTATAGTGTTAAGTAAAGAGCCAACACGAATTTCGCATCGTGGCACTTTTTAATGTGCCGGAAAGCGTTATGGCTCTTTAAAAACAACCAGGACGTAAAATTTCGCGCGTGCTCGCACACGCACACGCACAATAAGTTGTATTGGTAAGTGGAATTAGATATAAAATTGGAACAACGAGCTTGTGGTTGTAACACGTCTAGAATGTTTTCAACGTTTCAGCGATTTCGTGTGGTGCGAAGAATTGGAGGAACGAATATATTGATTTGTAGATATTAACGTATATATATATGAAACTGAGAAACCAACACTCCATGTTTGAAAAATGCAATATGTATCGAATATATAAAAGTAGTGGTTTTCTATCGAAAATCGGTTCGAGTAATAATTTATGGAATGTTGAATGTTGAAGAATTCAAGATCTTTATTTAAATTTTTTTATCTTTGTTACTCTATCGAAATTCTTTCCCACAAATGAATTAATACTGCCTGATGGCTCACTTCTGAATAAAATTTTTTGAATTAAGAACTATTTTCCATTCGTATATCTTGGGTTCTGAGGAACTAACGATTGTCCAACATTTCTTTCAAAAATAAACATTGAAATACAACGAAGTCTGCTTTCAGTGGTATCTAAAATGAATTTCATTTAATTTGTTGCTCAATCCTCGTTTTCTCGTTTCTGCTTTTTCTCTGTAATTCGAAGAAATGATCGAAGAAGAAACTTGACAGGCCAATAATTACGATGATGTTTTGGCATTAAATGGTAACTTGGTATTACTATGGTATATAATCTCGGTTATAAATTCTCGAGAAAATATGAAACGTGAAAATTTTGACCCTTAACACTAGAACTACCAAAGTAGTCAAAATGATTAATTTATAATTTTCTATAGAAATTTTATATATTTGTGATAACAGTGTATTTTTAGATATTCGAGTGATTTTTAATAAAATATATTAAAAAAAATAAAATATATTAAATATATTAAATATAATAAAAGCTTTGGCATTCTTTATTGTATTAACAGCATTAATTTAATTTCTTTGCTACAAATATCATTACACTTTAATTTCTTTGCTACAAATATTATACTTTTTCATCGGTGTTAATATTGATTGTTCACCTTCTATAATTTACTAATGTTTTTCTGCCCGGAAATCCCCTCGGTTCGATCGTAAACCTCAGATTGGTTTCAATGTTTCACCGTTCAAACAGAAAGCTCGTAAAATCATTCATTGAAATACTTTCTAGCTTCGAGCATCGCTATCACTGCTGTTACCATTGTCAAATATTTACTATGATTGTAAGTCGATACAGTATTCTAAAAAAAAATTCATTAAAAAAATCTTTCTAATCTTTCCATATACATATATTTTACAAAAGTTGTCCTGACGCAACGATTTTAGTAAAACAGATTGAAACAAAAGGGAGAGTGTTTGAAGAGTGAGAATTTCTCTTGAAGGTTTCCTGGATCTTTGCAACTCGTTTCAAAGGGATATTTAAATTCATGTACCTAGTCTTCGGCTGCTTTATTCGCGTCGTGTTTTCCGCATTAAAATCAGCTTTTTCTCGGATTATAGAGAGGGTACCGATATAAAACGTCTTGTTAGACGAAAAGTACGCTGATCTCGACGTTTATCCTCGCCGATGGGAGATCAGCCAATCGGTTTTTTCGCCTGTCGGCCTAATCAATGAAGAAACAGGAACAGGAAGCTTGATAGCTTCCTATTGCTGCCTTTATTTGCGTTAATATTTCATATTGTGATAGTTACTCGATATTTGTGTTGAAGTAACTGTTCCAGAAAAAGAAAAAAAAAACCCAAAAAAAAGAGGAAATTTCATGAAACGTTTCTCACAATGTTTTTTTCTGCTTGTTTCTTTTAAACGTCGTTTTTAAAATATAACCACAGATAAGTAACTGTTTTATATCGTAAACTCGAAATATGTATCCACCGCGCTGATCCGGCAAATCTCTGAAAAATCACGTCCGATCGTGGTTAAAATAGAAAAAAAAAAAAAAAAAAAAAATGGAGAACTATGTACACTGCACGTCGAGTAATTCGTATGGTATTGCACACTTGTGTGTCTACGTCGATGCTCGAAACGAGAACACGACAAGCGTTCACGATGCTCGCGGCCCGTATCCATCTTGATGAACGATCGTAAATCCACTCGTTTCTGGTGCATCACGCGCCTGTTTCGAAAACAACGGGGATCTTGCAAACAAATCGGATAACACGTGTATATTTCTGGCTTTTGATCAAGCCACAACTCTATCTATAGAGTTAATCTCGATTCGAACATTAGGTCGAAGAATTAAAAAAAGTTAGTTGGGCGAAGAACATGCGTTAAAGAAAAAAAAAGTCAATTGTTTCTTGTAGATTTCATCTAGTAAAATATAAAAATAATAAAAATATTGTAAAATGTCGATACGAACATGGTTGATAACATAAATCTTCGCAGGGTGTTCATTTGCAATCTAGAAATAGAACAGTGGGATATTATGAGCCAAAAGTTTCTTTCCACCTATTTTTTCTTAACGAAACATCAGAATATAAGAGAACACTAATTTTATTAATTTTAAATTAAATTCAAGCTTATTGATTTTAAATTTTTTGCGTACTTTAATATAATATGTACAGTGGGGTGCAAAATTGAGTCAATAACGAAAATTTTTAAGACGAAATATTAAGGCATGATAAAGCTTGTAAATCTGACTATGAAAAAATTGATTCTATGTTTTTTAATTTTTTTCAGCCAGGGAGAAACCTAATCTTAAATGTTAAAAAATAGCTTCAGTTTCCTAAAACTATAAAGAATCAGATAGTCAAGTTTATTTTCATGTTTTTATACTTTATTTAACAATAAAAAATATTTTTCTTAAAAATTTTTGTTATTGATTCAATTTTGCATTCCACTGTATATATAAAATATAATAATATAATGTATATATATAAAATTATGTATATATACATAATAAAAAAATTACGGATTTATTTTAGTAGAAAGTGATTTCCCGTCCACTCTATACATATTCTTCGTTCATAGTTTTCTTTCTAGCATCCGAGATCCGAATGAGTTACACCGCGAGCATTTGCAAAATTAAAGAAACAACGAATATTATTGCACGTTATGTTGAATCAGAGATTCTTGAACAATAATTTCAACCGAGGCTCGCTTGTGTTTATCAACTGGTAATTGCCCCGCTAATTACCCCGCTAATTACCCCGACGACGAACTTCCCAAGCAAACTTGCCAACGGAGGAAATAAAACGGAAGAAGAAGAGATTACGAGGGTCGCGAGCGGCAAAGATTCGCTTGCCTCTCGGCAAACAACAAAAAATGCCGGTGCAACGCAGCTCGCCGAGTGTGGAGAAAGAGATTGGAGCGTGGCTCCGTTTGTTCGATGGTGCAACAAGTCGGATTAACAGCTGTTTCTGCTGGCGTGCACGGTTCCAGGCTGCACGATGCCATGGTGGCTCGAGTTGGCCGCGGTCCAACTTCGTTTTACGAGCCTCCGTTTTACCGAACTCAGCCATTGTGCCCCGCCCGCGAATGCCACAACGCGCCAGATAACGAACGCCACGTGAGTTTATAAACACACTCGCCGTGCAAACAACGCTTGAGACTTGGACAATTCGCTGATATCGCAAGAAAGTAGCAACGCGTAAACGAGATGAGAAGTCATTGTCTACCTCAGAGCATTGTTTTCCCCTAGAGATTCTCTTCTGTTTTCCCTGCTCCTTTTTTTTCCCAAAGAAACGAGGCCGATATTGAAATTTTTGCGAAAATTATACTATTCGACGCGAGCTTCCAATCGCATCGTGGTTCCGCTAATGGAAATGCACGCGACCGGATTAGAGATTGACTCCGCGTCCGTAATGATCGGTCGACGATCAGATTGCAACGGAACGCGCGATCAATGAACAGCTGCGAAGTCAAGTTGCAATCGCGATGTGTCTCCGCGAGAGGTGATGTATCGAAAATTCACGTTCCCTTTTAATGGACACGGCCGAGCCGTGAGAGAGAACGCGCGAGAGGACGTGACTCGCAGAAAATTTGTCGACCACGAATAATTAAAATGAGCGGTCTACGCTGCTCGAGGCGCTTGACAAAAGGATATTCTGATCGATGTGGGCTATAATTTACCCTCTGATGGGTTTGCTAATTTATCTTTCGTAACGCTTATATCTCGTTCAACGTAGGAACGTACTTTCCCGGGGTTGCGTAAATGAACGTACGGAATTTATTATGTAAATCATTTCTCTCGCGAAATCGTACGATCGTTGAAAGTGTGAAATAATATTTCTTTGCGCGGCTCTACGTTCCAAGGTAGGAACAGTAAAAAACAGTCTTTAGACTAATAATTAACAAATCATGGGAAGATCGAAGAACGTGAATGAAAGTCAAAGTATCGAGAATTGGAAAGAGAGGAGAAATGAAAAATTTAAAAATCACGGAGAACGTGCTTACCTCAGGGACGTAGGCAGAGCTTTGTAAAGTGAAAAACTTGGGAGCGAGGTTTGAGACATGCACAGCGATTGCTGTCAAGGACCGGTTCAGGTCCTCGCTGTGCTGTGGCTGTTCTTTTCCTTCGAATTCTGTTTCCTCGCCGGATGCTGAGTACGCGAATCACTTGTTCAATCAAACACCCACGAGGCGAAGCGGCACACAAGCGACGGTTCTTTGTTTGTCTCCCCGGTTGGAGCGGAACAAGCGAAATCACTTCGTTCTGAATGATGCTATCGACCTTTCGATACGGTCGCACCTGTGACGTTCTCTTTGCTGTCGTTCCTCCTGCGAAGCACACGTCGTTCTTTCATTGATCTTGCGACATGAGCCACGCGATTATCCGCACGAGGCTACGACCGAGACAAATCGCCGAGCAGCAGAGAAGCGACGCCGGTGCGAAGCGCTGACTGAACCACTGGTAAACCACCGAGGGGTGGTCCGTATCATGCGGAGGTCCCTTTACTCTCTCTCTGCCGCTTTCCATCCTCTCTCTCTCTCTCTCCTCTCCCGTCTCCCCTCCCCGATCTCCTGCTCACAACCTCTCTCCCACCCATCTCTCTACCCCCCCCCCTTCCACTCTATTTCCCTCAGTATTTCTGTTTTACTCGTTCATCCCTTTCCTTTCTCGCTCTCCTCTCCTGGTTTTTGTTCTTCCACCTTTTATACTTCTCGCACGCGTAACATGCCCCGATATGCTCGTCTCTTGCACTTTCCTTTCACTCTAGCTTCCTTCATTTCGCTCTCTCGTTTGCCTTGCCCTTTCTACCAGGCTACACTCTCTCACTGAGTCTTCTTTTCTCTCTGTCTAACTTTCGCCTACCCTCTGCCACTGTCGACCACGTTACATCGTCGGCGTAACGGCGCGGCGTATGTATACACGTTACAGAAGGAAGCACAGGTCACTGTGATCCTACGATCCTGCGCTCTACCATCAGGTGCGCACCGTCAGCTACCCTGCTACCGACCAGGTTTTAACTAGGCTGTTGCATACTTGATGCCAATCTCATTGTTCTCTTCCTTTTCTTTTCTTTTTTTTTTTTTTGCTCTAGCATGTGCATCCCTCTGTGAAAATTTAATTGCATAAATATGAATGAACGTAAAACTTGGATTGATCGAACCGAACACACATCTGTTTTTCAATCAGTAGTATTTTGATATAATTAACGTCTCGATGCAATATGTTAATATAAATATTTGTTCACTATCCGTTAGGTGTTTTGGATCCGCACATGTTTACTTCTGAGTTATTATTTGTCGTAATCAGGCAAGTGTTTCTTAAAGTGCTATTCGTTCTACGAACAAATCTTAAATACATATGTCAAATAGCCGAATTCCACTGGAATCTGACACAGTATTCTTTTTCTTCTTCTCCTTCTTGATGTAGTGAACATTATCCATGATAATAGCGATTATTCTATTTTACTAAACGTACATTTGTACGATTAATATATAATATGTATAAATTTTCTTTCTCTTCCTTCGTTTTCTAATAATACGGTTTTTTCTTAGGTCTCTTTAACATTTCGATATACAACGTAACGCGCATATGCAAAAGTGTATGTATATATATATGTACTATCTGGCGTAAATAAACGAGGTACATATATATATATACAGGTTCAATTTAATTAATTTTCAATAACATCGTTTATTCATTATTACAATTCAGTAATATCAACTTTTTAATTATTTACGCACCATTGGTTCATTGAAATTAACATGACGTCAAAGCAGGGTATTGTTTGGTAAAGTTCTTTCTTGTTTGTATTCTTCAAAACTTTATTCTTTGTAAATGACAACAGTCTAATTGTTTCAACAAAGGAATCAATCATTTGTAATTTTTGTTTTTTAAAACATGTACATGTGTATGGCAGAGAGTGAAAAAGAGACACTTCTTCGTCTTTTTATAATTTTGGTATATTCAAAATCTATGCGTGTGTAATAAATTTAATTTTCAATGCAGTGAAATAATTCATTTTGATATCTTAAATCAATCATAGAAATGCAAAACAACATTCATATAATAATATCAATATACATTTATTTATACCACTGTATGAATCACATAACATGTATGAGTAAATTTATTTACGTTTTTATGTTCCTTAAAACGATTTAAGATTGTAAAGTAATATACAATCGTATGTTGAGTTTTTGTTTGACAGCAAATATTTATTTACTACTAATTTCTTTTAAAGCAAAATTATATCGTACCAGGCATATGTATGCTATCTAACATGAAAGTGGGATTAAGACGTAAACTATCATCTTTTCTAATACGTTGAACTCTAGGATCGTCTGGTCTAATAACTGAAACATAATAAACATTAGATTAAAATACTACTTTGTAATTGTTCAAGAACATTAGACTAGCACGGACTTAAATTTTATCAGTGATTGTTGCTAGCAAATATGCATTACTTAGTAACACCATTTCAATGGTTATATAATCGTATAATTTAACTAAATGTAAGTACTTACTGTAGATATACTCGTAATATTTTGGAATATACTGTTCGTTTCGGTGTCCAAAATAAAGGATTATAGGCACAACTATCGTAAATGGGATAAAAATATACGAATAATATGTTACTAATGGGTTAGCTTTTGCCATGGCAGTATGTAGAGTTTTTAGTTTGGACCCTGTAACAATGTAATTAAATTTACGCTATATATTCTTCATACATTTATAATGTAACGTACATAAACCTTTAGTATATTTCCCCTTCAGGGGATCAACAATAGATGGTTTTATATGAATTATCACCATTCTTGCGGACTTGTGTACTTGTTCACAGAACAGTAAAATGGATACTGCTTCTACTTCACACCATCCGAAGTATGACGCGGGTAATTCAAACCAACCTATCCAAAATTTATGGAAATTGCAAATTAATGATAATGATCAATCGAAAGTTATTGTCGTAGTCGTCTATTAATTATTTTAGAAACATTTTCAATCCTATTGTATTCAATATCATAAACTTGCAAAGTTAAAAACCAATGTCAATTTCAGTTACTTGGTTTAATTTTAACTCGTATATCGAAAATACTCATCTATGACAGTTTGCGTTACGTTTTCTTGTAAAAATCGTTTCGGATGTAATCGTTTGTTTCATTGGAATATGCGAAATAATCGCAAATATAATTTTAGTTGAAAATTCTCGTGAGTTATATCGTTGTGCCATCTTACGGTCGGCGTGGCAAGTGAAAACTAAACGGCAGTTATGGCTGCCGTCGCGAGGCCTTTAATTAGTGACAAGTGATTCGGAGGTGTGTTTTTTATTTTCAGTGTTAAAGCAATCGAGTATAATTTGTTGAAATTCATAGCGTGGCAGCTGGCAGGCCTCGATGATCAGGTGAGCGTGCAAGTCCCTTCAAATTAAAACCTCTACGTTCGAATGTTCAACGGTTTGCGTGGTTATTGCACACCCTTGTTCCCACGCACGACTTTTTTGCATTTATCTCGTGCAACGATTATATTATTTTTTCACGTGTCATTCGCACGTCTATCTCTCTTTGACTCGATATTCACGGACACGGTTGGTTGTAGCTGGCCAATCATAAATAGTCTTATCAAAACTTTTATCCAGATATCAAATTATCGTTTCAATTATGTCATTGAGATTTTTCTCTCATTAAAGAGGTTAGAACGTATCCCTTTCGAATGTCGGTCGTCTTGTTTCTTGTGAAAATCTAGAGAGAGCATGGCAAACAGAGATGTCGGCGTGGTTTTTATTAAATGTTTACTCTATTTTGGGGGTTAAGTTCGGGCCTCCCGCATCGATGAACGTTGCTTCGAGGCATCGATAAAGCTCGATACTCTCGTGATTATCGCAGCCGCTGACAGATGCCACTGTGTGTAGCGATTTGAAAAGATATTTCTATACTGATATTTTTCTATAAATATGTATACATTTATATCATTTTGTAGATATTTTCATTTTATTGTACATATATTTTTATTTTATTCTATTTCACTTATTTATTACATATTGTATTATATATACATGTATTACATTTTTTATATATTACACATACACACGTGTGTTTAAATGTTAAAAAAATCTACACCACGGATATGGAATTAATTTATAGACAAATAGGTTCGCACTGAGCTCTCAATTGTAAATAAGAAGAATCGAACCAGTATAAAGATTAAAACTGATCTTTTGAAAATGTTTCTTTTCAAAATTCAAACGATCCATCTTAGTGGTTGATTAATTTGATTTTATGGCTCGATTATTTTCGTCACTCAGGCAATAACAACAACAGAAAAAGAAAAGAGAGAAGGAGAAAGGGAAACGAAGAGAGAGAGAGATAGAGAGGAAAGGCTTGTGTATCGCGATAAATCGTCTACGGTATAATCGATCGGTTCTCTTGTTTTTTTTTTGGTCGTTCGATGTAAATAGTCGAACGAAAGAAAGAGGCAAGGAATTGACAGTGATCGATTCGGTGTATTCGACTGGATTGCGGCGGCGGGTGGAGCGGAGAAGAAGGCTCGCGATAATTACAAGCGTGTTTCTTGCTCGGCGCTCGTCAAACCCTGACTCTGCGATTCGGTCGATTTGCTCCGCGTTTCGGAATTTCGACGTTTCTCGGGAAAAAGCAAGTGGCGGGTCTCCGATCGTCTACAAAGAACCCTACGCTTCTGAATCTGGCGACACGTGCTCCGTCAGGACCACACACGTGGCTCCCTAGCCTCCACCCTTTCCCCCTTTTATGTCTTCCTTATTTCGCCCGATTTTTGCGCGCGTTCGACCGCGCCTCCCTCTTCGCGGAATCGGAATCGAAATACTGTTCCTCTCGCGTTCGATGCAATTTAGTCCAGAGATTTGTCGGGAAGTTTGACATTCTGTTCTGCACTTTATAAAGATGGTTCTATCTTTCATAGATGTGCGAGCTTCACCATTATCGTTGGTAGTTAACAATTATTATTAATTGTTATCAATCTATTGTAATTTCACCTGTTTCACTGTAATTCTCTTCGACATCCAGAAACAGTATAGAAATTCACAATAAAATCAATACTGCACTTTGGAACTATATCCTCTGCAATTACTTTACATCCCGTAAAATGGAATTTATTTCCACCAGCCATAATTTTTCGTCGAGATAAATGGACTCGATTCATGGATATTCGTTTAATTCGTTTAATTAATACTGAATGATTTTTGTTCCGATAAATAGTACTCTGTTACCTGTTGCACTCTAGACGTTTACGAACGATTTTTCGTTGCATCGAAGCAACAGAACCTGAGAATTTAATTACAACTAAAGCGTCGTATCTGCAACAATGCATATCGCTTTTTTATATCGTTTATCTCTATCAACTTGTTTACTCATTATCGTGCAGAGATACCAGCTGATATAATAACAGCGTTTGTAGCATGCTTCGTCCAATAAGAAGATCCTTATGTGTTCATTCCAAAGATTAGCAAGCGGTTTTAACGACGGTACTCGGTATTTTTCAGTTACTCGAAGTTTTATCGATCGTCCTTATCTACGTGCCGTAGGAGCAACAGTCTCGAGGCAGATACGTCTACGTTGGGTTGGTACACGGTTTGCACACAGGTTTGCACCAGTCGAGTCCAGTCGATATTTATTCATGCGGTCGCGTTTGCACCTGCACGAACACCTTCCCGATAAAATCTACTCCTCTCCTGCTGGACATTCGATTTCCCGATTCATCTTGCGTCTCTTTTTGCTCGATGTCGTTGCCGGTTTTCGAAATTCGCGCACGCAGCTGGAATGAAGTGAAATACACGCGCACGGAGTATATCGGGCACGAGGTTTCATTCGCGTACACACTATGAAAAAATTAAAAACAGAATTATAAAAAAATGAAAAAGAAACAAGCAAGGTAGAATCATTAAATTGATCATTATTTAGAGCAGGACTTCTCAAAATATAAATCGCGATCCCATATATGTACACACGTAACTGAATTTGGAGAACATAAATTTTATATATTTTTAATTAAATTCTAAATTTTAAATTAAATTTTATAAATTATATATGTATATAATTTATAAAATTTAATTTAATTTATTTATATATATAATTAATTTTATTATATATATTTTTTATTATATATATGTATATAATAAAATTATATTTTTGTTTAAATTAAAATTAAATTATATTTAATTATAAAATATAATTTATAAAATTTAATTTAATTTATTTATATATATATATATAATTAATTTTATTATATAAATTTTATTATATATATATACGTAACTAAATTTGGAGAATAGAAATTTTAGCAAAAACTAAAAAATTCGAACATTTGGCTTTGTCAAATCATATTATGTATGTACGTAGTCATATTCCTTCGTAACCAAATAATTTTTTCCCAATAAATTTACTTTACTGATTTATCATCAGCAGATGTTTCAATTCGTTAATTTTCTAGTTTATGTACTCAGGGTCGCGAAAATATTTGCTCGGGGAAATGTTTGAGAATAGAATCGAGATGTAAAATAAACTTCTTCGACCGATTGCAAAAGTTCTACGACTCGTGATACAATTTTTTTCCGAGAACCAACGATTATGAAAGATACGAAACTCTTTGTATATATTTGTTTTAATTGATCTGGATTTACGGTGCAGCATGGAAGCAACAATTCGAGGACGAATGATGATTATGGTCGTTCGTTTGGCAAGCCGCGCGGGCACAAATCGACGGAAAACAACGTTGAGCACTGCTGAATACTGTTGAATTGTTTCTAAAACAGCGAGGAGGTGCTAACGAGTTCCGCGTGATATTTGGCTCGAGAAGTTGATTGATGACTCGCGTGGAATCTCTCCTCTCCCTGTTTTATTTAACCGCTACGGTGACAAATTTCGCCGGTATCGGTTTTCACCTTGTATTCTCCTCCTCTGAAGCGATCACTCTTTAAAAAAGTACATTCGATCGGAGGAAGACCTCTTCAATGAAACAACGCTCTCTCTTCCTTAGTAAAGAAATTGTTGGATATTTTTCAAGATGTATTCACATATTTATCAAAGAAACCGAGAGCAATCTGGCCCAATCTGTGCCTCTCGGCGAACCGAAAAACACTCTGGAACTCAACCAGCCGCTCATTCTACTCTTAATGCACACGCGTGTAATGTATGTATATTTGTGACAGCTTAAGAACGCAGGGTAATCAAAGAGGTATTCACTTGTTGAAATTGGATAGAGTCCATTGACGTCGTTACAGTTGCTTGCATTTCATTACAAAGTAAGATATGACCACTGCTGCTAATCATAGGCCTGCTATCAATCACGAACGAGCCTTTCTTCTACCTTCTGTTCAACCCATTCGATTCGATTCTTCGCTTCTTTTGCGTTCTTTTTTTTTTTTTTTTATCGACAAGGTTTCTTCGTTTCTTCTTCGTTTCTCCCCACTTCTATCCTTTGGCTGTCGCACGCCTCGGCTGCGATTTTTACGATCGAGCACAAAGCCCCCTTGCTCGTGCACGCTCGTGTATTTCGAATCTGGCAGAGACAACAACTGGCACAGATTACGCTCTCTGGCGCATTATTATGCGAGAAGCGTACAAGACGAAGCGTAGGTCGGCGCAGCGGCGAGTATTATTGTCGTTTTGGCAGCTCGTGCGATTTTCGTGATTTAATGCACCGGATACCCTCGGGCTGGTCGCGTTTGCCAACGCGCCCACCCGTCCACTCATTGAATCGTAATTCGCCCTGTTCACGTTCTCTGCCCTGCGGACAGCCTCTTTTACAACTGTTGCGCTCCGACGTGTGCTGTACTACCAATTTTTCTCTTTTTTTTTTTCCTTCTCAATTTTCTTTCCAATATTTTCTTTTTGCTGTTTCAAACGTTTTCCTTTTAATTCATTAGGCTTGATATGTATTTGTGAAATTTCGAAATCTCTCAGCTTCAGTGCCATATTCTTTAAGTACTTTAAGTTAGTCGATATGAGATAGTCGGACAATTTCAATTTTCTTTTTTTTTTAATTAAATAGGCTTTATATATTTGTGAAATTTCGAAATTTCAGCTTCCGTCATATTCTTTAAGTACCTTGATTACTTTAAGTTAGTCGATATGAGTCGGTAGAACAATTTCAATTTTCTTTTTCTTTTTTTTAATTAATCAGGCTTGATATATTTGTGAAATTTCAAAATTTCAGCTTCAGTGTCATATTCTTTAAGTACTTTAAGTTAGTCGGTATGAGATAGTCGGACATTTCCAATTTTCTTTTTTTTTTTTTTTTTTTTTTTTTAATTAATCAGGCTTAATATATTTGTGAAATTTCGAAATTTCAGCTTCAGTCATATTCTTTAAGTATCTTGATTACTTTAAGTTCGATATGAGTCAGTAGAACAATTTCAATTTTCTTTTTTTTTTTTTAATTAATTAGGCTTGATATATTTGTGAAATATATTTGTGAAATTTCAAAATCTCAGCTTCAGTGTCACATTCTTTAAGTACTTTAAGTTAGTCGATATGAGTCAGTAGAACAATTTCAATTTTCTTTTTTTTTTTTTTTAATTAATCAGGCTTAATATATTTGTGAAATGTCGAAATTTCAGCCCCAGTCACAGATTCTTCGCAATCCCTTCCAAAATGTTACAATCGCTTCATCATTCTTCTCGAAGTTATTTCTAATAGCCGAGTTGATCTCGACAGAGGATTTCACAAACGATCAACGAAGATGCATGTTTCGTTGGTATGGCTGCAGCCCGCGTTGAAGCGTAATTGCTCGAATGCTACATACTTGCCATGCTTTATGACAATTCTAAATTATCGCGTCTGATGTTAACTATTTAATCCCTCGGGCAGATTTTGTAGCCTAACTCAAAGAATTATTCTAGTCCCAGTTAACTCGACAACTATAAATTATATCATATCACTTACAGTTGTTTAGAAATTTCCGGGACGTCGGACTTCAATCGTCGATCTGCTCTAATAAAGTCAAGGTTTATCACCTTGGTTTCCTTGGTCCTTCTGGTTTGGCCCGAAGATAAATCATACTTTTGTCGAAAGAATGTTCGAAAAACGAAGCGTTAATCCAACTTTCCCTCGAAGTAATCGAGCAATCAGAGATTGATATCCTCTCGCTGGTGAACAGATCGTAATTTTTGTCGTCGAGTACGTTTATCGTCTTATTTTACAATGTCCGTATCTCGAATGAATTTCCAGGGTTTATCAGTAATTTGTTTTTGTCGTAAAGGATCTTTATTCGGCCGACTATTTCTTAATCGATGATTCAACGATCGGCGGGTCTCGCGCTATCGCGAGATTTTCTTTTTTATTACGAACGAGCGTCTCCTTTACAGCTTGCAACATCGAAGAACGGTTTCGTGTTATTCGTCAGCTGTTAAATTGGCAGGGAAGAACCTTTTTCTTGAAGAGCGTGGAATAAGAGAGGCGTGTCGTCGTAAAACCGTCTCGTGTGTGCGGCGCTTCTGACCGCCAAGTGAAAAAAAGGGAAAAAGAAAGAAAGAAAACCGTTGTCGCGTGTAATAAGCTATCGTCGCCACCGATCTCGGGAATGAAGTTGTACTTCGTGCCAAGATTCGCCGAAGCGGCCGTAATAAAGCGACCGAATTTTGCACTCGTCGCTTGTACGGGACTTCCCTCTAGCTAGTCTCGTTGTTTGTCATTATCTTGTCTGTCTGCACGATCAGTAATGTCAGATCCCTTGTATTTACAAGAAGATTATTTTTAAAACTACTTGCTTCGATCGATCCGTGGTAAGTTTCGTTCGCTATTGCGTCTCTTCGTGGAAATTGTCTTACAGAACAAGCTATAATTTGCCCCTTGATATACGAATTAAATTAAATTAAACGAAGTAGATAATCTAAAAATTAATTAAAGAATGGGGCTGACTGGCGGTCCGTGAGCCCTTACCCCTACCTTCCTGATCGCTAGCGTTACCCCCACTCTGTCATGCACGATGCAGTGGAGAGGGTAGCGATGAGGAAAGTAGGGACAAGGCTCGCGGGCCTTTAGAATACAGGATATAAACTGAAAGTTGAAAAGAGCCATATCAGCCATATAAGCACGTAGAAAAATATTTTTTATATAAAATATATTATTTATATAAAGTATAAAATATATTACTTATATAAAATATAAAATATATTACTTATATAAAATATAAAAATATTAACTCGCGTATATCTCATGTAGGGTATAAAGTCGAAAAGAGCCATATCAAGTACGTAGAAAAATATTTTTTTTATATAAAATATATTAATTTATATAAAAATATTAACTTGCGTATATCTCATATATAAACTAAGTCGAAAAGAGCTATATCAAGCACGTAGAAAAGTATTTTTTTATATAAATATATTAATTTATATAAAAATATTAACTCGCGTACATCTCATATATAATAAACTAGGTCGAAAAGAAGCCATATCAGGCACGTAAAAGAATATTTTTTTATACAAAATATAATAACTTATATAAAAATATTAACTCGCGTATATCTAATATATAAACTAAGTCGAAAAGAGCTATATCAAGCACGCAGAAAAGTATTTTTTTATATTCTTATATGAAATCTTATATTCTTATATCTCAGAGACGTTATTGTCGTCTTTAGATTAAAAAACGCATGATGTTTCCCAGAATCTCAAGGAATGAATTGTAAATTGTTCCGTATTACCGTTTTTAACGTATGGTAGACTAGGCTTGAACGAAAGTAGAGCGAAAGTAGAACGAGGAGTGTCATGGTCAGACCGCCGCGCCCTTAAGTTCGTTGTTGAAGGAACTCAGACGTTTCTTTCCTTCTCTGTTTACAAATAACAATGAAACGGTATAAATGCAGTTTTTCATTATATTTTGATGCTATTTATATATGGAGTAAACGAAACGTGTTCTTACGAGCTAGCTCGTAACATCTGGATTTATTATCAACTTGGAATTGTGTTCGAGCAACGCGTATCATGTTCATTGTTGATTCGTTGTTGAAAAACTTTTTGGCTGACGGTTAGATAACAGAGTGTGTTATTGACATGAACATATAATTCTTAAAAATAATATTCCATATAAATTAATTATTATTAAATATAAATTTTATTATATATATAGTTCGCAATATTCCACATATTCCTAATTTTAACATAATTGAAGCTAAAATTATTGAACTAAAAATAGAAGTTTCAATATGAGCTTTTAATAATCATCCATGAATTAAATATATTGGAATTTTTGCTGAAAAAAGATAAAATTATATATACTGGACCAACATTAAGTATATTGGAATTTTTACTGAAAAAGATAAAATTATATAAATAAATTTGAAGTTATATATAGATATTTAAAATGTTTAATATTTCTAAAATACAAAAATTTAATCTACAAATTTTATCAAATAAATTTGATAAATTAAATAATAAATATAATAATGGTAAAGAAAATACTAAAGTATAAAATGTTAAAGTTCGAAAGGGGGGGAAAGCGAGTTTGAATGGTTAGCTTGGACTCCCATTCAACGATGTGACGAAATTGGAATTTCTCGTCCGTCACCGTCTATTTCAAATCTAACATCGCGGACAGAAATGAAACAGGAAAGTTAAATATCGCTCGACAGGTGTTCCTCGATTGTTATTCATCCGTCGCATCTCCTTTCGCTTAACACGTTCCAATAATAGCCTTGATATCCAAACTTGTACTCTTTTATATTTTCGTACGATCTTCGAACTTGTACTCTCGCATTTTCGTACGACATTGCTCTCCTAATTTTATCGAGCTTCGTGATTTCGTTTTATGAACGAAGAGAGAAAAGTTGGCAAGTTTTTCTAACGATTTGCATGATAGTTGGTGGCGACTAATTGCCGATAAGATCAACAGTCGCACGTAGTCGGTTTTGTTGGCAGAGGAACATCAAAATTAGGCGCGTTGTATCATGAAAATTCGAGACTAAGAGCATTGAAATTGAGCAACGGTAGGGGATGGTAGGTGGGCGAGGATCATTTATCGGAATTGTTGATCATTTTAATCGAACTTACAGAGCTGAGACTTCTTTTTTTTTTTTTTTTACAGCGTACTGTGGGTTTTCCTTTTTGTGCAGATTTAAAGTCGCGTTAACATAATGCGGACGGATCACCAGTTTACTCGTGTTTCGCGCGCCATCTGCTACGAACGGGTCACGAGATAACTCGTGTTTTCTACACGCTGTTTTTAGATGCCATCTGCTTTGATATATTGTATCTATTTTGTCTATTTAGGTGTTTACATCAGTAGTCAATGTATTAAACTCGATTGCCATCATGTGCTTTTTTGCTTACTTACCGCGGCCACTGGGGTAAGTTGGAAAAAAAAGAATCCGGTCTTTAATTTGTTAACATCGAGGTCATTAGCGACTAGATACTTATATGGTACTTATATTTTTGTAGTATAGATTTATGTATTAATCAAGTATTAGAGTGTTCTCTTCAGATGATTTTGGGAAGTCAGGGCAGTGATGGGATTAATCCTATGTAATCCTATGGGATTAATTCTTCTCTGTTGGAATGACTCAAAGTTTGTGCATTCATGTAGAATATATTGAGCTGTTACAAATTTTTGAATCATCTATTGCAGAAGGGAGGATCAGTTTCCTTGATTAGGTCTTCATGAGCCAGGACACATTATAATTGTTTCTTTTTCGGTTAATTCGCTAAGAGGAATTTCTTATTCGAATTCTTTCTCGAAAGATCATCCACAATGTGTTAAACTGTGACAGATATTTGACATCAGTCTTCTTGGTCGAATTTTACGTGTCATCCTTGCGGCACAGGCCATGCTAATCTTCTCTGTATCGTTCCAATTTTAGTACACGTACTGCCGAAGCAAGCACGTTATTTTACGGTTTTGTTCGTGTTTGGACGTCCGTTTTCGCCGTTCCGTTTCTAATTCAAGCTTAGTTTCGGCGTCGCGGACCTCGCACCTGTCATCCGCTGCCAAATCGTCTCGAATCATTAAAACGGTAAATGTTTCTCTGTTTAAAAGTATCCGTCGAAGACACGTAAGACCGCCACTTGGCAAGTGCTGCTTTTGCCAAATACTTGCGCGCCTGTCGGTCTCTCTCTCTCTCTCTCTTTCTTTCTTTCTCTCTCTCTTGGTTCGCTTAATGACTCGTCAAATCGGTCGACTCGCTCGGCTACTTGAAAATTGCCCGCCGCAAAAAATAACCCTCTTTACGGTTATCTGTCTTCTGCCTTCTCCTTGGAACGAGCAAGAAGAATTCTCGCGCAGAATTTAACGAACAGCCGCTCGCTCGCTCGTTCGCGAAGGAATCTCGATGCTCGGTGAAAATATCGCATATTCTCAAAGTCGCGTCAATACCACCGGAGATATTTCGATTTAACCACTTGCGCTGGCAACTGGTTGCGGACCATAACGAGTGACCAAAACCGTAAACAATAACTCGTCGCTTTCTTTTCGAACTCGTCGGTACGATATCACTGGATCGAAATTATTGAGAAGTAATAAATTTATTATTTGCTCTGCCTGCGTCATACTTAAATATACTTAAAACTGAGAAAATATTGCATGTTCGGGGACAAAAAAATTCTCGACGTGCGTAGCACGTCATTCTAGCGCAAGAGGTGCTGATTGCGGACCATAACGAGTGACCAAACCGTAAACAATAATTCGTCGCTTTCTTTTCGAACTCGTCGGTGTGATGTCACTGGATCGAAGTTATTGAGAAGTAATAAATTTATTTATGTGCTTTGCCTCGGTCATATTTAAATATACTTAAAACTGAGAAAATATTGCAATTTTGGGGACAAAAAATTGTCGACGTGCGTAGCACGTCATTGCAGCGTTGGCAGCTGATTGCGGACCATAACGAGTGACCAAACCGTAAACAATAATTCGTCGCTTTCTTTTCGAATTCGTCGGTACGATATCACTGGATCGAAATTATTGAGAAGTAATAAATTTATTATTTGCTTTGCCTGGGTCATACTTCAAACTGAGAAAAATATTGCAATTTTGGGCTGTTTTAAAATCTAGGACCTTTTGTATCTTATTTCTAAGACTTCAAACTGCTATTTAAAACAAAAAAAAAAGGAAAATTGATTTTTTGAAAATTTCAAACTGTCCTGACCATTTGCGCTGGCAACTGATTGCGGACCATAACGAGTGACCAGACCGTAAACAATAACTCGTCGCTTTCTTTTCGAACTCGTCGATATGATATCACTGGATCGAAATTATTGAGATATTGCTTTCAAATTTATTATTTGCTTTGCCTCCGTTTATACTTAAATATACTTAAAACAGAAAATATTGCAGTTTTACAAAAAATTCACTGAGTAATGCCATTTCTCTAAAAAAAAAAAAGTATTTTCTTTTGTCAGAAAAATTTTTTGCGCAGATCGAAAGTATACTTAAAACACTATCACACACTCGATTGTTAACACGTTACATGCAGTGTTGGCCGCCCGGCAATGATCGATGTAGTTTAAATCTACGTTCGTCATTTTCACGACGAGCTCTCTCGTCTTGTCACGCGTTGAAAGATATTGTCGTGAAGATGCAGTTAAATTGTTAAAGGATTAAATACCGTAGAGCCCGATTTCGTAAAGCCACCTTTGAACAAATTGCGCGGCAGGATACCATGCAATATAGCGGAACGTGTTATTTGTCGATCTATATCTATCGACGGGCGAACGAACAAACTGAAACGGTTGGAGCCGTTAAACAGAAGGTGGGAAACTCTACTAAGCTTGTTTCTTGGACGACATTGGCTCGTCCAGTTGTTGGACAAATAGACACGAACGATGCGGTCGGTTTTATCGGCGCGTTAACGAAACGATTTACGGGGTCCTCGACGTAGTCCTCGATGGGAAAACGTTGGTCAAAACGCGACGGAAGCTCGTTAATCGTACGGTTAATTGCAGCGCGAGAAGTCGAGTTGAAAGTCACGAGATTCGAATAATTCAAGCGACTCGCGGGAACGACACATAGATAAACCGGATCGGGTTCTCGATCTTTCCATCGAGTCGCGATCGTGGATCCACGGGAAACGCTCCAACATCGTGCGAACGCGATCGCGCCGCGATCGATCCTAATGATTTCCCTTTAGGAAGCGAAACGCCGAGGACGTCGATTCGCTGAGACCAGTTTGTCTCGTCGGACAATGATGAGACGAAGCGGCCACGATCTCCGCCGCAATGAATTCTAATTAAATCTAATCTGCGCGTCCTTTCGTGTCCCTACGTATTTATGACGGCGAACTTCAAATCAACGGTTCGCCGCCGTTGTCGCTTTTTTTTCTTCTTCTTTTTCTTTCTTTTTTTTCTTGCGCCAATCGACACAGATAAAATTGAAACGCGTCGCGTTTGCAGCCAGTTCTCTCGGGCGAGTTTATTTCGATTTTCGAGTGTCTCGTAGAGATGGTCCCAATTCTAAGAATTGATGGAGATAGATAGTCCATCAATTAAGTGAGGAAATTCGGACGCTTAATTCTAGATGGGTTTAAAACTGTCTCACATTTTTTTTTTTTTTTTTTGACAGTTGATGCACGGTGGAATATTTTTTAACTCATTTTTCTTTTTTTGGAAAATAGATGTGTTTCAATGAGTTTCATTTAAAACGTTAGTTGCATGGTGGAATTATTTATTATGCCCCACTTTGTAATAAAGAATTTATTTAAACATTACTTTTTTTCATTTCAAGAAATATTTTTACGTTTAATAATTGAAATAAATGTTTTTTTATATTTTTTTTATAGTTTTCCTTCTTTTTTTTATGTTAAAAAAAATTCTGTGCAGGTAGAGTTCTTTTTCTTTAAAATTGCCTAGTTAACCTAAGGGTTAACTGGGGACTACTGTGTCAATATTTCACAGTTCACATTTGCGCTGGCAACTGATTGCGGACCATAACGAGTGACTAAACCGTATACAACAATTTGTCGCCTTCTTTTCCAACTCGTCGGTATGATATCTCACTGGATAGAAATTATTGAGAAGTAATAAATTTATTATTTGCTTTGCGTGGGTCATACATAAATATACTTGAAACTGAGAAAATATTGCAATTTTGGGGACAAAAAAATCTCGACGTGCGTGGCACGTCATTGCAGCGCAAGAGGTGCGCTGGCAACTGATTGCGGACCATAACGAGTGACCAAGTAAACAATAATTCGTCGCTTTCTTTTCGAACTTGTCGGTGTGATATCACTGGAAATTATTGAGAAGTAATGAATTTGTTATTTGTTTTGCTTGGGTCATACTTAAATATACTTAAAACTGAGAAAATATTGCAATTTTGGGGACAAAAAAATCTCGACGTGCGTGGCACGTCATTGTAGCGCAAGAGGTGCGCTGGCAACTGATTGCGGACCATAACGAGTGACTGAACCGTATACAAGAATTTGTCGCCTTCTTTTTCAACTCGTCGGTATGATATCACTGGATGGAAATTATTGAGAAGTATGAAATTTATCATTTTTTTTTTTGTTTATACGTAAATATATTAGAACCGAGAAACTATTGCAATTTTGGGACAAAAAATTCTCGACGTGCGTGGCACGTCATTCCAGCGTTCTCGGCCCCGACCGCCAATATCTTCCGATTCACGCGTTTTGTCGATTCGTCTCTTTATTATTCATTATATACCTCGTATTTACGCCATCTCGAGCGACCGGAAGATTGCCCATCGAACAACCAAAGCATACTTGCCCACTTGCTCGGATCGTCTGAAATCCATGCAACGGGAAGACGCGTTTCTCCTCGGAGACTTAAGGCGTCTTAAATCAAATGGAAAGAAAAGTAAATCCCACCCGAAATCGCTAAGGTAAATTCCCCCTCCCCCTAACGTTTTATCCCCGTGGATTTATTCTTGGCGAGGCGGATGAAACCGCAACGCAGCCGCACAATTAAAAATAACCGTGCCAGCCAACTATCTCGCAACGGCTCGTTAATCTCCAAGACTTTAGAGATATCCTCGAAGCCACGAGTGGTGGATTGGAATTAAAAAAGAGGATTATCAGGTGGACGTGCCGATAATCGAGTCGGAATCCGGCGATCCTTTCATTCACCGAGAGTCAGCCTGAATGGAAAGTTAGATCGGGGTCTCGGCCCCTAATCCTCCAGCGTTTCGTTCGTAAGTGTCACGCGGTGCGTAAAAGCCTCGTCCCTTTTCGTTTTTATCTATTTTTCCCCCCTAGACGTTGTGCTCGTTCCCTTTTCCTCTTGCTAGCTCGAGATAGCCAGAGTAGAGTTAACCAGTTTCTTTTTTTATCTTTGTCTTTGGTCAGTCACAATTCTCTCTCTCTCTCTCTCTCTCTCTCTCTCTCTCTCGATCTCTCTCTCGTTCTGTCGTTCGTTTTCTTTGGGTAGACTTGGCTCTCCCTTGTCCATCTACTCGCGGCTTGCGTCGCACCAGGAGGCAAACCAATTACATTATTTATAACTTTGGACTAATTTGATTAGACGACGGCGCCACGCGTCGCCTGCCCTATCGAGATCTACGTAATACGATTTTGTTCTCTCGGTTCTATTCGCGGCCTCGGTCCGTTCCATTCGTTCTACGTTCGAATCGAGTGTAGCGACGCGCGAGCGAGAGGACAGAGGCGAGCAGGCAAACGAATCAAACCTACTCTCGCGATTTAATCGACCTTTTTTCAGCTGTTTTTTTCTGAAAGTTGACAGAAGTTCGCATACCGTGATATATGTACTTTGACATCGTTTCGTAAATGATTCATCATCGAGGAAAGAAATCTAATCTTGAAATGAAACAGGAATAGAAGATCTGAAACATTAGCCAAAATATTGGCCAACAAGTCTTGACAAATTGCGTTAACCACTTGCGCTGGCAACTGATTGCGGACCACAACGAGCGACC